CAACTTCATCACACAACTTATAATAGAGTAGAAGAAATAATAGCGCTACAAGGGGACTGAAGGCCATTGAATCCCGCCTCAAAGCATTTGAAGATGTCCAAGAAATTTGTAGGAACATAAGAAATTACCATATATCAAGCCAAAATCCTGGTTCATTTAGCTGAGTATTGCTTACATTGACTTGTGGTGGCTGTCTCATATAGCATCTTTCCGAGTCCTACTGAAACTAGAATGGGACAGAGTCTTCAGAATGTGTTGACTAGCAAAATGAGTGCAATAAATCACCTTTCAAAAACACTCATGGACACACAACTAAAGGAGTCCTCAGTAGAAACACAAAATGAGCAAAGCAGTCATGGAATCATACCACAGCACTGTTTCTTCTGGGTTGTTGTGAGTTTTCCAGGCTGTGTGGCCATATTCCAGAAGTATTCTCTCCTGATGTTTCGCCTGCATCTATTTCAGGCATCCTCAGAGGTTGTGAGGTCTGTTTGTTAAACCTCTCTGCTCCTTTTGTATAAATCAGTGGTTCCCAGTCTGTCGTCCATAGACCACCAGTGATCTGCAAGAACTAAAATATGGTCCGCAGCCGCACTGTTGCAACAAGAGCAATTGGTCTCACAAAACCCTCTTATAGTGCCGAGACTAATTAAACATGGTTTTCTGTGGGTGAGCAGATGGTGACTACTGGATGGTATATGTTCTGTATCCGAAACTAGAGCTGATGTGGTCTATCTGATGCAACTTTCTGCATCAGCACTCCAGATAACCAAACTGAATCTAAAGTTGACCAAAAACTGACTCGTAACAAACTTTCAAAGGTTTATTTCAGACCCCGTATTATCAGTGTCTCTGAAACCAGGTAGCATCTAAACCATGCATGGGCCAACTTGGGTCCTCCAGTGTTTTGGACTTCAACTCCCACAATTCCTAATACTAGTGTTGGAGAGTGGTCCCTGGTCAAAGTGGTCCCTGGTCAAAGTAGTCCCTGGTCAAGTGTTTCCTGGTTAAAAAAAAAAAAGGTTGGGAACCACTGGTATGAATGAACCCTTAGTAGAGAAAAAGGCATCTCTCGTTCACAGCATATTGGCTCTCCAACAATATAAGGCTGGCCGGATTGTGGAACCTACAGAAATGTGGGGAATGTTAGCAGGAATACAGTTTTTGCCACCCAGATACTACACGTGCTAAAGCAGGCATCCTCAAACTGAGGCCCTCCAGCTGTTCAACTCCCAGAATTCCTGACAATTGAACAAGCTCATTAGAACTTCTGGGAGTTGGAGGCCCAAAGAGCAGGAAGGCTGCAGTTTGAGGATGCCTGTACTAGAGTGATGGGAACTGTAATCCAATACAGTTGGAGGGCATCAAGTTGCATAAGACTGCTATATCTGTACACCAAAAGAACCCACAATGTTTTGACTTGATACTGCGTCATCGTGTAATGAGAACAGTTTCAATTTAAAAGAATAAAAGAGCAAACATTGGTGTCCTCCACTAATACATTTAGTCTGTAGATAAGATGAAGATTTATAAGAAACCCAGGAATGAATTTCTGCAGTTGCATTAATAGAGGAAGGAACAGTAATAGTATTTGGCAATGAGAACAGTATGGATTTAGAAGGGTTTTGCTTGCCAAGTATCTTCAATGGCTTAGTGTGAGCTGGAAAAAATAGTCCCAGCTCTCAAGTTACGACTTTCTTCTTCTCAACTAGCATCACCAAACATCTACTTGTTAATTTTAAAATTATTACCAAATCCCCTGAAATTAAGCTCTAAATTAAACAATAACAAAAAAACCAACCAACCAAAACAAAAACAAAACCCTAAAATACCTTCTGTTCAGAAAATAGTTCAGTTTCTTTGAACATACTTTCAAAGGTTTATTTCAGACCCCGTTTAGATGAAACCAGGTAGCATCTAAACCAGGCATGGGTCAACTTGGGCCCTCCAGGTGTTTTGGACTTCAACTCCCACAATTCCTAACAGGACCTGAGGCTGTTAGGAATTGTGGGAGTTGAAGTCCAAAACGCTTGCAGGGCCCAAGCTGGCCCATGCCTGATCTAAACTGTCCCCTGACTCCTCTCTTCCCTCTTCTCTATCTTTGCATCTGTTTACCATCCTCCCTAACAATTATCTTTGGCCAAGATCATACTTCAAGGAGACAAACTACAGTACATGATGCTTGTTCATAGGTGCATTGCAACTGTATGCGTACATGTAAATGCATGATTCTAGTGTAGAATGCACACCTGCATGTTCAATGCACAATGCTGCCACATAGGCAACTGCGTTGTGTACACAACTCTGCTTTTGTAACCTTGAATGAAATAAAAAGGTCCCACATCAAACAAAAATCTTCTGCATAGAAACCTATATGTGTGTTCACAAGGCTTTATTATTATTCCAGCAGCACGGACATAGGAAAAGGGAAAATGGGATCTCCTTCCCTTCTGGTAAATTTTTATGGCTGCGTGTTACATATAAGGGAGACTTGAAAATGACATTTCCCATAACTATGGGTATGAGTCAATACCTATGAGAAAATTACTTTTCCAAGTGCTTCTCACATCTGATATATAATGTGCCTGGCATTGCTCAGGGGAAAAAATATATTCTCTCAGCTCCCTTCACTGTTGCGCCTTAGAAAGACAAATTCATTGGAAAAGATATGTGGGAGACAAAAGGGGCCACGGTGGCACAGTGAGAGGCTGAACTTGCTGACCGGAAGGCTGGCAACTCAAATCCACAGGACAGGGTGAGCTCCCGCTGTCAGTCCCAGCTCCTGCCAACCCATGCAAATGTGAGTAGATCAATAGGTACTGCTTCGGCAGGAAGGTAACAGCACTCCATGCAGTCATGCCGGCCACATGACCTAGGAGGTGTCTACAGACAACGCTGGCTCTTTGGCTTAGAAATGGAGATGAGCACTACCCTCCAGAGTTGGATTCGACTTAATGTCAAGGGGAAACCTTTACCTTTATATGAGAGGCTGGAAGGTGGGGGGTGTCTAATTTCTTCTCTGGCTCAGATTTTCATCTGGTACAAAAGAACCTTCTAAGGGCATGGCATTTGACTTTCACCATTTGGATTTTTATTACAAACAGATAATAGTTGGATTAATTGCTCCAAACTGTACTTAAAGAAAAATAAATAAAAGAAAACTGATCCTATGCAAAAAAAAATGTTTGACAAATCTTTTCAGCAAATTCAGACTTTGAATTTGGGCTTAGAAAGCCCAAATGTACCACCAATTCCTGCAGGAATTTCTGCCTCCTGCCCTTTTCCTTGGATGTTTGTCACAAGTTATGCTTGAGTCTTCTGGGTTTTCTTCACTTCATTCTTTACATAGTGAATATGTGTTCAGTGCACCAAAATAGGAGTATAGTGATTTCTGAATGGGGAATAACATTGGGAAACAACAAATGGAAATCTTGGCCGATCACAACTCCCCAGTTTATGTCCCTTATGTGTTTACAAACATCCATGTCTCCTTTGAAGTTGTAGGGGTTCTTCAAAAACAAACAATAGCCATTTTGGGAATGTATTTTCCATTTGATGACCGAAGCTGGGAATATAGGTGGAGATAGGGTGGTATATAAATAAAGCATTATTATTGTTGTTGTTGTTATTACTACTACTATGTATCTACCTTTGGTTCTCAACAATGTTCTTATGGAGCATTTTGCTCATGCCTAATGTGTGCATGCAATGCATAGTGAAGACTTTCTAAAGTCTGTTGTTGAAAGATTTCATGGCCAGAATCACTGGGTTGCCGTGAGTTTTCCAGGCTGTATGGCCATGTTCCAGAAGCATTCTCTCCTGACATTTAGCCCACATCTATGGCAGGCATCCTCAGAGGTTGTGAGGTCTGTTGGAAATTAGGCAAGTGAGGTTTATATATCTGTGGAATGTCGAGGGTGGAAGAAAGAAACTTTGTCTGTTTAAGGCAAGTGTGAATGTTGCAACTGGTCTGACATGTGGTTTTTACGAGTGGTCCAGCATTTCTATGTTCTCAAATAATATGCTGTATCCAGGTTGGTTCATCGGGTGCTGTGCTATGTCTGAGGAAACCATGGAAATGAAAAAAATCTGGCTACCAGTATTAAAAAACTCTAAAATCAGGACAGTAAATAAAGAGCAAAACCCCAAAACTAGGGGAATTCCAGACAAGAATCAATCAGGGGTACCTCCCAACAAAGGATCCCCAGGCAGCATCCAGCCAGGCTTTGAAGCTGCAAGGCCATTAAATGCTAATCAAAGTGGCCAATTGCAACATTCACACTTGTCTTGCCTTCAACAGACAAGAGTTATTTCTCCCACCATGGAAATTCCACAGATATATAAACCTCATTTGCCTAGTTTCCAACTGACCTCACAACCTCTGAGGATGCCTACCATAGATGTGGGCAAAACATCAGAATAGAATGGTTCTGGAGCATGGCCATACAGCCTGGAAAACTCACAGCAACCCATTTTCTAAATTATACATGCCTAGCCTTACATTTTATTTGCTTGCATCGATTCAGTCCAAATGCTTGGGCTATTATTGCCATTCTGCTGCTTTAAGCAAAGACCACTCCAAGGAAAATGGGCAGAGTGCATCCATCTTAAAAACTGTAACCTTCTCTTATCAGTGATGCTATAGGGGACAGGACTTTGGAGAAGTCTTACTTAGTATTGAGTCTCACTCAACAGAATTACAGGGCCCCCCAAATACAACAGGACTCTCATACTACATTTTGCACAATCCCATAAACATCATTACATTTGGAGACAAAAATAATTTAACTCTACTGTTTCTTATGTAGCCATAATTTCAAGGAAATATTTCCAGCTCACTGCCCTGCTAATGTTTTAGCCACTCACTCCCCTTAGCCAGTTATGGGCCTCTTGGTATAGGAAACTTTAGTCTTGCATCACCCTGTTCTCTTTTTGTCTTCTAAAAATGGGGCTGTTGTGCCCAAGCCCAGCAACACCCAAGCATATAAGCAAGCAGGTGCTTATAGATAGTGTACAGTTTATTTGGTGTGTGGAGGAAAGGGTGATTCTCCAGCGGGAAGACAGAGCGGGTTCAAACACTACACACATATTGAGAAACAAGAGCAGAGGTGAATCCCAGTCCAGTCGGGCTGGAGGAGGAGGAAGAGGAGGAGAAGAAGGGAAGCAATAATTTCACAGGCCAAACCAGCAGGCACGGAGTAACTGTATTGATTCTTTTTTTAACCAAGCAAGCAACTACCAGCAGAAGCTGCCATCTTGGGTAAAGGCAAGCTCCAAGGAAAATGGCAGTTGCAAGAAGAGCTGCCATCTCATTTAAGGGCAAGCTCCTAGGAAGATAGCAGCCACACTGAGGAGACAAAGCAGTGGTGAGGCCTCTGCCTTGTCTGTTTTCTCAGAAAACATGCAAGGGGTGTGTCACTACTGGCATTGCCTCAGCCAGCTTGCATCGTGCCCTCTGCGGAGACGGCTGTCCCCACCTCGGTCCATGTCCCCAGGGACCACCATGAGAAGGCTGGATGAGAGAAAGTGGAGGGAAGGAGAACAGGGGAGGCCATTTCATCCATAAAGGCTACATCTTGCTTTATTGGCAAGGCTTAAAGTGCATAGGAGTGAAAGCAGAGTCCGAGGCAAAATGGAAGGAGTGGGGCTGAGGAGAAAGTGGGGCCAAACCGGGTCCCTGAAGAAGGATATCCTCCAAAAAAGGCCACTTGAGCTGCACAAAGACGGGAACAGGAAGACACAGACAGACAGACAGACAGAAAAGGATAGAGCATCAGTTAGTAGAATTGATTGGTAGTAGTTAGTAGATTGAGAGGTGTTTGGTGTAGTTGAAATAAACTGAACCAACTATCTGATGGCAAAGAAAGGCCTCAAACCTCAGTGACATCCAACAATTAACTACAAGAGAGAGAGACGGGGGAAATGAACAGACGTGGCAAGGTTTAAGCATTTTTTTCATCACCTGCTCCTTTCCCTCTCCTCTCCTCGCTTCACAGCGTTTCCAAACTCGGATCTGATGCTAAATATCTAGTTTGTCCCAGAGATATATTTTTCGTATCTTATCCATTGCTGTCTTCCTTTGCATAAACAATGAATACAAAATAGGAAGCAAGTGCTACATTGTTCCTGCACTATCTTCTCATTAGTGCTATAGATAGATAGATAGATAGATAGATAGATAGATAGATAGATAGATAGTGTTTGCAAACTTGAATCCCTTAATCATGGATTTGCTTTTTCTTCTTTTTTGCTCCCATGTGCAGACACAAACTCACAGTACCAGTTGCATCTATATTTTCATTGCCTGACCCAAAAGTATAGCTACAGAAAGGCACAATGAAGGCATCCCCCTCTCAAATAAGAATTTCCCTCCCACATGAAATTTTGTTTCAGTCCCTAAATTTATTGCAGAAAATGGGCACTTAAAACTATTCATGTGTACAACTCCTATTTGCTGGATTTACATCCCCTTGTAAACTTTGCCTACCCTATTGCTTTGGATGCCTAAATCCCATTGCTTTGGATGCCTAAATCATTCTTCCAAAGGCTTGACTGATGTTTTAAATTACTGCCATGGTAGAAATCTGGGGACTGAAAGAAAATTTCATGTAAGGCGGAATTCTTATTTGGAAGATGAATGCCGTCCCTTCCATAGTAACATTCCTTGGACTGAGCTAGGGGGTAGTCACATAGACTTCAGTGTTCTTAGCCCTTGTTTCCACTGGCTGGCATCAAGATCAAGTTCTGAGCGCAATCAGTTTTGCTACGATGCCCAAACCATCAGTCACTCACCAACACAAGCTGTGCCGTCCTCATTGGGCTCAAAGCCCCGGTTGCAGCGCTTGTTGCTGCGGCAACGGTATCCGCCATATGTGTTGATGCAGACGGGTCTGCCCCTTGGACAGACAAAGGGAAATTCTGCACATTCATCCATATCTAAGAAGGAGAAGGAAAGAAAGAGAGATAGAGAGATAGCGTGACGCAGGCCTAGCACAGAGACCAATGACACATAGTTGCTCAACACCACAGTGGGCCTGATGCTTTATTCTCAGAGTGCAACCAAACGGTGGGCATTGAATACCAAAGATCAGACATTCTACCCCGTGGAGCTCAGTTGCAGGCAGAGGAAAAACGGCACCCAAGAACAGTTCATCTGTCTGCCTCACCAGGTGACTCACCAACACACCTCCCGCTCTCGTGCTGAGAGAATCCTTGGCCACACTGTGAAGGAACAAGAGAAATTTGTCATCAGCACTTAATTTCCCTTCAGACTCATCTCTCTCTACTTAGAGTACTCTGCGATGCCATTTTTATGGAGCTGAGGAATTTGTATGGCTGCAATTCCTGTTTCAGATCATATAGTAACTAATGCTGTTGCTTCCACTTCTGAGTGTCTTCTTCGATATAGAGTCAATTCTGAAAAGTGTGTGCCGAGACTCCCTCACCCAGCCCACTTCCATTTTTTTAAAGCCTCAAAAATATAGACTGGGTATTCAACACTGAAAAGATCTTATTATTTTTCCCAGTTATTCCCCACAGCCTCAATTTCTTTGCTCCTATGCACCTATTTCTTTTCAATATTTTGCGATGGCAAATTCACTGTCTGTCAAGGAAGAAGAGGTTAGTTGTAATTCCGAATTCTAAGATGGTTGATGAAAAAGATTACGTGTTTTGCTGGAACCCCATCATGTTTTGCTACTATACGTAACTCCTATTTCTCTGACCATTCGAACCATAATACCTGTGATTGGGTACAAACAGAAATAATAAAATCCAAAATGTGATGCAATTGCTTAGACTATAATCATGCACAGTAGTGTAGCAATAAATTTTGAAGGTGCAGGTAGTCATCACGACAGTCCTTATAGTGGTACCTCTGAGAAATGTCCAAAAATACATGCAGTTTTGTTGAGCCATATCACTCAGTTGTCATCTCTAATGGGAGTGGGTCTTTTTAAAAAAACAAATGGGTCATAATTGCCAATTCAAAGCCAAGCACCTTCTAAATAATTTGCATTACCATGGCCAGTGAATTGTTTCTGGGGAAAATGTATTTTAAATTCAGCTTTTGAGACGATTACACCAAAATGGGGGTTGAGAGAGGAAGACTGTGTGGGTGGGCAAATTATATTTTTTTCTCTGTTCATTAAAAAAATTCAGTCCTATAATGTATATTAAACATAGCCAAGAAATGGCTGGGGTGTTGGTGTGAATGCCAATAAATTGATGCCCCCTTTCTGCAGTGTGTTCATTCCCTGATGAAAGAATCTTGTGCTTGAACATCCATTGTAACCCCATTATTGTGAGAATTGCAGCTAAATTCAGAGGCAACAGCAAAGTCAGAATAATGGCTGGTTGATAGAAGATCTCGTCATTGTCCCTGCTAATCAAAACATGCCAGCATTTTGACCCTGTAATTCCTGGTTGTAATATCCCTCTGATTATACAGAAGAAACAAAGGAAATGAAAAGATCTGAGGCCTATCAAATTTAAGGGGACTAAGGGCTTGGACCAGTGATTCTCAACCTGTGGGTCTCCAGATGTTTTGGCCTTCAAATCTCAGAAATCCTAACAGCTGGTAAAGTGGCTGGGATTTCTGGGAGTTGTAGGCCAAAACACCTGGGGACCCACAGGTTGAGAACCACTGGCTTGGACTCTGCTGTCCAAGATAAACATCATGGCAAAGGTAAGGTGGCTACATGGCCTCATGTATCAACAAAAGAAAGAACAGTTTGATGGTACTTCCCATCTTCCATTAAGCAAGCCTCATCCTCCAACTGCAAGTTGTCCTTGGGATGAGGAATTGAAGGGAAGGACACCCTGGGCTCTGCCATTTGCAAAAGGCTGCAAAGTCAATTGAAGCATCTCTACCTAGGAAGATCAATTGGCTCTAACTGGATATGACTGCTTATCTACAACTCACTATTTTGTCCTATGCAAGGGGACTTCATAGGACCTTTGATACCAGAAGAAATTAGTAGCATAAACTTTCACAGACTTCAGTCCATTTCATCAGATGTTGTTATGTGATTTCCAATGATCTCTGACTTATGGTGACCCTAAATAAAAGATTGTGGTCAAGCCACAGGCACAGAGATTGCAGGATCAAGTAATTGTCCCTCCTTATTCCTGGTCTGACAATGTCGGAATGTTGTGCCCATGTGACCAGGAAAGAGGAGGGTGCATTACACCCCTAATTCAGACTGGTTACATGGGAATCCTCCTCTGATATCAGCAGAGATGCCCACAATGGCCAGGAGTTCAGATGGAGCTTCATGACTGATTAGGAGCAGCAGTGATTGCAACATGGAGGAGGTGAGATATGGGTTGGGTTGTTGTAGGGTTTTTGGGCTATATGGCCATGTTCTAGAAGCATTCTCTCCTGACATTTCATCTGCACCTATGGCAAGCATCCTCAGGGAGACCTCACAACCTCTGAGGCTGCCTGCCATAGATGCAGGCAAAATGTCAGGAAAGAATGTTTCTAGAACATGGCCACACAGCCCGAAAAACCTACAACAACCGAGTGATTCCGGCCATGAAAGCCTTCAACAATACAGAGATGTGGGTTGTCTCAGGCACCCTAGATCCTTGGCTGCTCCAGGATGTGGTGATACTGGGAAGAACAATGAAACCAGGTTACTAGAAGAGAACATATTGAAAATGTTTTGGAAAAAGAGCAAGTGAAACAAAAGTGGAAGCCTTTCCTTGGCCTTCAATGTCTTTTTCATGGAATCACCATAACTGGACATCTATAATATAATGTACTTATACATTTATGGTATACAGTGGAATTCAGGAACCCTTTCATATCAAATAATTACAGCAATAAGATTCCATTTCAACTACCATGACAACATAATATGGAATCCTGGAATTTGTAGTTTAGGGAGGGACATTTCAAATTTTCACCCAGAGAACTCTAGGTCCTCAGAAAACTACAAACTCTGCACTTCCACAAAATATTGTCATGGCTATTAAAGCAGGAAGTAGTAATTTATTCCAAAAATTACTTATGGAGCCAAGTTTCAAGCTGCATTAATCTTACACCTGCCTTTGAAAACCCTCTTGAATTTCATGTGATTTTTTTCTCTCTCTCCTTCCGTCTCCTCCTTTTGTCCTGATACTTGATGAACTACTTCTTCTGCTCTCCTTCTAAGAAGTCTAAAGACAGCACTACTGTTGATTTGGAAATGTTATGCGGTTCCTAATGTGCACCACATACTATGCAGTTATGATGCTATAATTCCACTTTAATTGCCACGGCTGCATCTAGTGGAATCCTGGGGGTTTGTAGCCTGGTGCAGGACTAAAGCTCTCTGACGGAGAATCCTAAATCTCTCATGGAGCCCCAGGATTCCATAGGATTGAGCAGTGCCAGTTTAAATGGAATCGTGGTGCTATAACTATACTGTGAAAGCGCTATTCAGCCTCAACTCCACAGGAGGTAATTCTGAGGAGTGGGTGTGGGAAGGATCAAGGATATCTTTTTTTCCTTCGCCAACCCCAGGCCTTTGCTGGCTGTGCTTTTTAGCACCAGAGGGCTGACAGCTCTAAACCTCAGTATATTATAGCTAGACAGCAGGGTGGCTGGGGGGCATGCAGTTCTGGAAATGGAAAGAGCATTCCCCCAACCCTAATCCCTCTCCAGGACACTTATTCTATAATGTCAGGGATTTGAGTAGATCAGTTTCCTTTTTTCCTCAGCCTTCCATTTTCTCAGGTTGAATTTTCAAGTGACTCAGACTTGTGTGTGCCACGTTGCTCTCACCCAGAAGCTATATTGATAGATGAGCTCTATCTGCCTAGCTTTTGCTTTCTCTTCCCCGTGCTGCGCTTCCTGCTGTCTTTCTGTAGGCATGATGTAAGATGACCAGTTCTTGTCAGGAAGGTTTGCTTGACTGGAGAGTTAACTGTAATTTTATCAGGCTCTATAAACTTATACGCACCAGCATACCCCGGTTGCTCTTTGGGAATACACTCAAAGCTTGAAAACATTCTTCTTGAGAGTACAACTCACTAAATCTACCACCCAGCATGCCTACACATGGTGACTGTAGGTTTCTGGGAGCTATGGTTCAAACAAATACATTTCCCAAGCTCAATCATGGGTAGGAGTTGCACTGAAGATTGTTCGGAAGCTCCAATTGGTCCAACAGTTGGCAGCCAGACTGCTCACCGGAGTGGGGTACAGGGAGCACACAATCCCCCTGTTACACCAGCTCCACTGGCTGCCAGTCTGCTACCGAGCACAATTCAAAGTGCTGGCTTTAGCCTATAAAGCCCTAAACTGTTCCAGCCCAGCTTATCTGTCTGAACATATCTCCCTCTATAAACCATCTCAGAGATTAAGATTGTCCAGGGAGGCCCTGCTCTCAGTCCCACCCCTCTTGCAGGTGCGACTGTGGGGATGAGAGACAGGGCCTTCTCAGTGGTGGTTCCTCGGCTATGAAATCCCTCCCCAGCAAAATTAGATCAGCACTCTCCCTCCTGGTCTTCAGGAAAAAAAAGTAAAAACCTGACTATGGGACCAAGACTTTGGACAGGAAGAAGTACAAGGAATGAATAGGATCATGTGTAATAGATATTGATATTTGGAATGACCCTGGACTAGAATTGTTAGATTGTGTGATTTTAACGTTTATATCAATATGTTTTTTAACTCCACATTTTAATGTTTAATTGTTGTTGCATTTTTATTATTTAATTGATAGTTGTTTTTATGTGTGTGAGATATTGAATTTTGCCATATATATGTTGGAAACCGCTTTGAGTCCCCCCCCCCCACCCCCGGGTGAGAAAAGCGATATACAAATGAAGTAAGTAAGTAAGTAAGTAAGTAAGTAAGTAAGTAAGTAAATAAATAAATAAATAAGGTGGTAATGAATGCTCCAGAATTGAGTCCCTCTTTTGCAGGGCCAGCTCTATCATTAGGCAGAATGAGTAATCTACTTCTGTTGGCAGACTCTGGCAGGCACAACTGAGTTCCCTTACTGTATTTTGAGAATCTCTTTGTGTCATACTGCTTGCCATAAAGTAATTTGCTACTGTCAGGTGGATATGGTCAGAGATGATCTAAATATCAAATATTTCTCTAGTCAGCTTTTGTACATGAAATGGAGATGGGTGCACCATCTTTTTGTATCAGGCAGTTACAATCTTGGCAGATCCATGTACCCAACTGTTTTTCTATTTGTAGCACCATTGCACAGGCAGATGTCCAGTCTTAGTCAATATGTATATATCCGATTTTGCAACATTCTTTTAGTTATGCATTCAGTTGTACAGCATTACCATTCAATTAAGGGACATGTAGCAAAATCAATGTGTAGTCCCATAGGTGGAGACTGACAATATGGAACCCCAATATGGGATCTGAGGCAATATTTTGTAGCTGCTGTTGATTCTTAAATGTGCTCCGTGCTCCTTGTTGGGTTTTTTTAAATTTTGTATTTCTCCTAAACCTCAGTGTCCTGCCATTTTGTTTCTCAGTGGCCCTATTTTGGCTCTGTTCCTTTTGGCATGGGGTGCTGATTGTTTATTAGAGGGTGTGATGATTCCTGACATCGCTATGCAGGAAACACAGCATAGGTTGGCAATTTGCCTCACTAACTAATAGGACAAATGCCTCAACTCAGTTGGCATAGAGCTTCCATAGGCATGTTACGTGACTATTTTCCTTAGTGAGGTGAGAGAAGGAAAACTGGTTTGAAGTGGGGGAAGTTTGGGAGGGATCGCTTCCAAATCACTCATATGTAGCTATCAAAACAAGGCTCACCTCAAGAGGAAGTATAGCAGGGGGAGATGCTGGGGGGTCCCGCGGGTAGGGGATTTCCAGCACGACATTTATCTCAGTGCTTGCAATGCTACGCGTGATGAACTTGCCGTCTGGCCAGACCACCTCCAAACTGCTGGGTTCATCCTGTCCTACAGAGAAGAATGGCAAGGAGAAACCAGTACAGTTTATTCAATCTAAGAGGTGGATCACTGTCACAATCCTATTCTTCCCTTCACTAAACACCAAGGGGAATTTCCTGATCACAAGAGTTGTTCACCAGTGGCACACATTACCTTGGAAAGAAGTGGCTTCCTTGTCATTGGAGGTTTTTAAACAGAGGTTGGATGGACATATCTCTAGCATGATTTATTTGTGGGCCCCTTCACTAACAAGGTGCTGGACTAGATCCAGTATGGGCAAACCCAGGCCTAGTGGGTGGATGAAGCCCCTTTGGCTCTTTTCTCAGGCCCTCCTCTCTCACACCATCCTATCCTTCCTTCTTGCTTTCTTTCCTTCCTCCCTTTCCTTACCTCCCTCTTTCTCCCTCCCTCCTTCCCTATCATTCTTTCATTCTTCCTAGCTTCTCTCTTTCCTCACTTCTTCCCTCTCTCTTTCTCCTTCCTTTTCATTTCTTTTCCTTCCTTCCCGTCTTTTCTTCCTTTTTTATTTCCTCCCTCCCTCCATTCCTTTCCTCCCTCCTATCCATCCTTGTCTTCCTCCCTTTCCTTCCACCTTTCCTTCCTTCCATCCTTCTCTTCCTCCCTCCCTTCCTTCCTTCTCTTGTTCCTTACTCCTTCCCTCCAATGGTTTCAGATGGCAGGGAAAGAGATTTGACTGAAAAGATTAGGAAGAACTTCCTGAGAGTAAGAGCTGTTGGAGAGTGGAATAGGCTCCCTTGGAGTGTGGTGGAGTCTCCTTCTCTGGAGGCTTTTCTGCAGATGCTGTCTATCGGGAGTACTTTGATTGTGCCTTCTTTCATGGCAAAGGGTTGGACCGGATGGCTCTTGGGGGTCTCTTCCAGCTCTAGGAATCTATGATTCTATATCAGGAGTAGGCAGTGGGTATACCTGTCTGTACTGCTTCCCTATTTTAAAAAACCCCTCTCAGAAATGCCACAGTGGCTTGGAGATTCCAGAGCTTATAATTCAGAAAGCAACTTTTCCAGGCTCTGCCAGAGAGATGACAGCACTAGGGATGTGATGAGGGTCATGTTCTTCCATTAACCACCGTGCTGCCACCCCCATCAGCACAACTCCCAGGCACAAGGCCATCTGTGAACCGGGTCATGGAGTATTCAGGCGTAGAGACCCTCTGACTTTCTGAGCTACTTGGCTTTCCTCCTCCATCTAACCTGGCCATGCCCCACTAAACGGAGACACCTTGGGGCTATGGAAGAGTAATGAGGTGTGGAGACACATAGTGCCTTCTGCAAGAACAGCTGGAGGGGGCAGCCAGAGCGCCTCCTGGCAAGACATGCTCTCTGGAGATGTAAATTCCTATTTGTGCACCTCATACATTTGATTATAAGAGGGAAGGTAAACAAATTTTCCAGGAGTTTTGAAAGAAAGGGCTTTGGACCAGGGATAGACTACAGTGTTTTTGCAGAATGTACAGTGGAGATAGTAACAGAATCAGAGAAATTCAGGGTTGGGATAATATGAATTAAGGTTCAGGTGTCAGACTTCAAACTTTCAGAAAAGTAATTTTTTTTCAGACCTCATCTCCCAGACCTCATCTCCCCACCCAGCACGGGCACTGGAGAATCTATAAGTTGCAGTCCTAGAAAAGTAACATTTCCAGCTTCTCTATGAGGTAGGGTGAGTGACAACAGAAGAGGAAAGAAACTATATATTGTTGGGACTGTTTGGAGAATTGACATGGCATGTACAGATCACTGTGAGTTCTGCCCCCCCCCCCACCTCACTTACCAAGGCCAAAATGGGCAACGGGCTCCATCTCACACAAGTACCCAGACCCTCCATCAATGATACGCAGATGGGCACCACTCTGCCGTGTGAACAGCACTACTTTAGCACCACGAGCAAATGCCCCAAAGCGTGTGCGTGGGATCACCCGCAGCCAGTTGTTGCTAGTACCCTGTGGAGATGGAACAAATGCACCATCAAAGTATGAAGTGGGCATAAAACTGGGGAAGGTTTGTTGGGAGCATCTTTTCTGATGGGTGTTCAGGCCATTCGGCTCTAAACACATTCAGACTCACCTCATTGACCTTGAAGACAGAGAGGGGCTGTGCCATGGACTCTCCGTGAGATAGGATCAGGTCCAGCCTTCCGTCACCATCAAAATCCACCACGGCCCCTCCTGGAATGATACCAGCTCGTTAAGCAGAGGTTTCTTTCAGCATCTCCTTTTTAACAGGTCTACATTCCTCTTCCACAGTCACAGCTGAGATAATGAGAAGATCAAGTAATATGAGTGTTTTCCACTTCTGCCCCCTGGTTACACCCAAATTAGCCCTAACTTGCTTGCAGTGACATTGTCCATCTGTGTGCTTGTTTACCCGAGGGGCTGCTCTCTCTGGTGCTACATCCTTTGTCACTGACAGCATAGTTAACCCTTTTCTGTTTAAGATTTCAGCATGTCAATCAAGAGTTCTGCATCTGGGCTGTGGATGGGAATTATACACAAAGACTGGCCTTCCCTTTCTTGATAGCATTTTAGAGTCAGGGTGGGAGCTGGGACGTCTGAACTCACATCTCCACTGAGTTCTAAAACTCAGTTGCTGACCTTGAATTAGTCACAGTCTCTCAGCCTAGCCTACCTCATAATATTGTGAAGTTACAATAGAAGGAGAAGAGATATATATATGCTACCTTGAACTCACTGGAAGAAATGCAGAGTATAAATGTAACCACACAATCAACCAAGCAAGTAATAGTTAACAAGGGGAACAACCTTCAAACCTTGTGGTTTTTGGCATGAATGCTCAGCTTGAAATCAATTAGAAAGCTCTGATGAACCCAGGAGCAAGATTTGTCAACACTTTCCTATATCTTTTTCAAGTTCCTGCTGCATATCCTTCAGTATCATTAACTGTGGATTCCTTGAGACATAAAGAGATCTGAATCTTAGGGTTAGTACCTAGGCTTCCTAAAGATTATGAATGACTCCAGCAGCAGAGATGCCATCAGAGCAGAACCTTGGGGCAGATGTTTGGAGTTCTGTACAGCAGAGTGAAAGGAAGGCCCCAATAAGGGCAACTGTAGTGCATGATTCATAGATGTTTACGGGTTCTTAAAGCCATCCCTTTGTTTTTGTTTGCTTCCCTTTGTTTCCTCTGACAAAATCCATTAAGGAAAAGATGTTGCACAATAATTTTGAGCAGTAGAAGTCCTCTGGAAGCACCTCTAGATGCTTCCTGGCAGAGAAAGGGTTGCCAGAAGAGTTTTTAGAGCTTGGAGTTCCAAGCTTGGCATTCCAAGCTACAATTGCTAGAATTGCCACAGCCCACATGGTCACTGATAGCACATCCAAGCTGGGCATTCTGGAAGTTGAAGTCCAAAGCTCTGGTTCAGCCCCACCCCACTTGTTCAATTGCAGTCATCTCACTTACCTCCTCTTTTTTTCAAGTGTAGCCCACAGTAGATATCACTTTCACTCACCTGTCCCACGTCCTTCTGGCTCCACGGCATCACCAGGGTTCAGTTCCTCAATGGCTGGATCAGCATGTTCCCGACGGGTGACCCTGCATCAGAAAGAGATTGTAGTAGAGTAGAATGGACACTCTCCCCTCTCATATAAATGCCCTTAATCGGGCAATCCCACAGTTGAGTAGGGGCTACCTTGTGTCCACATACTAAACCCATCTTGCCAATGTCCCTCTCTCTAGAAGGGGCCCTGCCCACTTGCCAAATGACAGGTCTCTGCACAGACTCCCTGGAGTTGCCACATGCTGCTATCACTTTATTAGCCTGAGAAATGTAAGCGGCTCTGTTTAACGAGCCATTGATTGCCTACAATTAATGGGAACCGTGCATAAGTGCTAATTAGTGAAAGCTGGAACCTCCAGGGATGTAGTCTAGGAAGAGCAGACTGCCTGTATGGGTAGTGAAGTAGCAAGGGGCTCAGCTATAGTTGTGTCAGCTGGCCAGCAGGCAAGAGCTAGGGAAGCAAAATTGAAGAGGCTACATCCTCCCTGTTTGTGAAATTTTAGTGGAGTCACTTTACTCCAGTGGATTGTTGTTATACAGGGAACTAAATGTCACTTTCTCTGAATCAAGAATCCAGGCCTCCCTCCTCCCTTCTTCCCATATGCCCAGTGTCACATGCAGGTTCTTCTAAAGCCATCAGGGATGTGACCCAGAGTCTGGTGTGGGGAAGCCCTTCCTGCCATGCCCAAAGCCTAAAATGATGGGGAGCCCACTGCCTCAGTCTCTGGTGGCCATGTGGCTCTCACCCACCGGAAGAGACGGTTGGCAGATGAGCCGCGATAGGCGATGTTGTTGAAGAAGACCTCCAACTCCTGGTCATTGTCAAAGTCAGCAGCGATGACGGTGCGGACAGGTGATGGCATGGACAGTTTGGGCGTGGCAATGTCCTGGGGGAAGGACGGGGATTAGTGGGGCAGGGATTGGGCTAGAACAGGGCCAATAGGACGCGTTGATCTAAGGATGCAATTTGGTGGCAGAACAGGAGGAGTTGTGACTGAGCTGAGGAGCATGATAACAGTGCTGCAGAGGTGTGATTGGTCAGAAGCTATAGTCTTTTGCAGGGACTGCTGCTCTTTTGGTGACTTGGTTGGAAACCAAGATGAAGGAAAGGCTGCCAAGTCTACGTTGCTACGGGTCTGAAATATGAGGCAAACCTTTAAAACAAGAAACATCTGGCAACCCAGCTGGAGGCAGAGACATCCGCTTCTTGGTGTCTGGATGTAATTGATGTATTCCATTCTTAGACTTCACAGCTATTTGAGACCTCCAGTGCCCAATATCCCTGCTCACAGCCCAGCTTATCCTCAACTGTATGGCATTTTGGGCCCTCCCTCCCTCCTGCAGGTAGCACTTACCCGGAAGCGGATGCGCCCACCTGCATTCATCTGCAGATAGAGCCGATGTGGTCCATTCCAGTTGCCATAGATTAGGTCAACCTTGCCATCACGATTGAAAT